CACTCACGACTAGGGAGAGTTCATGTTTCTAGATATCATGCTAGCTTCCATCATGAACAAGTGAGATGATTACTTTTGCCATTTAAAAAATTCGCCTCAAATTTTCTATCACAAGGAGATTTTCAGTAAACAACTGTCCTGGAACTTTCCTTTTTCTTTTGTGTAGTATCTCTTTGGCCACGTGAAGCACTGCTCTGCTTTGGTTATGTGTGACCGCCGCCGTATTCCTCATACCAAATCCTAGCCATTTAAGACAAAACCAGTAATATGGAAAGACCACAGCTCAGGAAAGAGTTGCTCTCTATCATTTAAACTAGAGAGGCTTTTAACCAAAGCCTAAGGTGGCACCATATGTCAGCAATTACAATTTTTAGACAAACTACATGGGTCAAAAATAGCCCAATTTGATTTTATCATATCATGTCTTGGATATCTGTAAACCATTCTAGTGATAAAAACTATGAGAATGAACCAACTTAAAAATTAAAAATGAGAGGTCAAAAATAGCCCAATTTGATTTTATCATATCATGTCTTGGATATCTGTAAACCATTCTAGTGATAAAAACTATGAGAATGAACCAACTTAAAAATTAAAAATGAGAGTAATTTTCAGAAAACTTTTAAACAGAACAGTGAACAAATAAGAGAATCATTAAATTATAACAGCTGCCAGCACGGCCTTCTCTTGCTGTTTAGTTACTGCCCCAAAGAGACAGAGTAATTTTCAGAAAACTTTTAAACAGAACAGTGAACAAATAAGAGAATCATTAAATTATAATAGCTGCCAGCACAGCCTTCTCTTGCTGTTTAGTTACTGCACCAAAGAGACATGGGTAGAATGGGTATCTCTCCAACGATTTCTTCCTAAAAACTACAATATCTTAATTTACCATTTTTTCCTTTCAAATAATTGCACACTTGATCACAGCTTTCTAAAGACATATTAGAGAATAACTGAAGCCTAGATTCACCATCTTAACCCCAAAGCAGCAATGATGCTCAAACCACAACAAAGATTTTAACACTACTGTTTTGTTTCAGTTCTATATACAGAAATAAATAGAAATGGGTGTTCTACAAAATAAGTATGAAAACCCCTAGTGCTTCCAAAAGTAAGGGAGAACAGCTCTTAGAAAGGGGTGTTTGGTATAAGAGAGATGGCAAATCCTAGAACTTGCCTAATATGAAACTCATTCTATGAGATAAATTAGGAAACTGAGACCAATCTCCAAAAGGCCAATTAAAATCAACCTTCTAGAGACTGTAGAAAGGATCAGAGGTGGCAGTGTTAAAGGTCTGGATCATTTTAATTTACTGAGGAACAAATCAAACACAGGAAATAGTCTTTCAAATATGATCAAATAACAGAGAAATCTAACAGCTGTACAGCTCAAATACTGTGTGGGACTCAAACTTGAAGCAAATGAACCTCATTTAAAAAGTGACAGATGAGTTCTCCATGCTACGAAGCTCTGTAGTGAAGGAAACTTGTTGCTGTTGTTTTGAAAAGCAAAGAAATTCTGTAATGCCAGTAGTACCCTGTTCTTTTTAGGTTATGTTTGGATTTGGAGGGACAGGATATTTTTACAACACACAGCACAAATGCAGTCAAGAAGTCAGGGGCTGATGGGCCAGCCCTGTGGCTCACTCGGGAGAGTGCGGCGCTGGTAGCGCTCAGGCTGTGCGTTCGGATCCTATATAGTGCTGGCTGATGCACTCACTGGCTGAGCATGGTGCAGACCACACTGTGCCGAGAGTTGCGATCCCCTTACCGGTCAAAAAAAAGTCAGGGGCTGAAACGATCTCCATTAGTTTCAGGGCAGGGCTGAGTGATGGCCTCTCATTACTAAAACTGAGGTGGCATTTCTGTTTCTCAGGTTATACACACAGCACAGACCCCAAAGCACCTGCTCTGCCAGTTCCCAGGGGTAAGGAGTAGCAGGTGCATAAAGGATGATCAGAGAGAGAGGACAAATGGTGCCACCTGGGGCAAGAAGTGTGGACATCACCTGTTGGTGTGTAGCCCACGAAATTTTTGGTTTGGGGGCTGTGGCAGTTTTGGGGAATGCATGTTTAATTCATTTTTTTTCCCCTGTCATAAGCAATAAGCACACAACGCAGCAAAATGCTCCTTGGAAATCAGCCCTGTTTTTAAGAGAGAAGCTGGTGAGAGGTGAATCCCATAGAGAAATGAAAAGCCCCTTGCACTTCTGTAACAGAACTGCTGCTGATGTGAAGTCACACCGACCACTACAGAAATGCCCACAGAATCCAATTCAGGAGGACCCTGGAGACACTCAGAGGAAAAGCTCCTCCTCAGTGTGCAAATGTTTCTCAGCTCCCTGGAGGGCTGAGGAGATTGCACAGACAACCTCCCTGCGACAGCCCCAGGCCGGGCCCTCCTCTGACTCTGGTTACAGTCACCTCATCCTTACCATGTGCACAATAAGCTAATGTGGACAGTGTCTGATGCCAAGCAGAGACACTGAAGTTAAACTGTAAGGTGGAATGATAAGGAAAGTCTTAGGCACTTGGCCCCATGGAAAGAAATGTTTTCCCTGGCAATGGTGGTTGCAGCCCTCCTGGGCTTCCCAGCGGGGAGGTGCCCCAGCTCCCTGGGTGGGCTCCAGAGAACCCCAGAAGATCTCCTTCCTCTGCTGTAGCACCTTCTCCTCCATGCCATTCCTGGAAAGGGCATGAGGAGGTGACATTCATTCTGACAGCACAACGTTATGTTGTAGCCACCAAATTCTCTCTTCCTCATCTCAAATGCAACCGAAATAGCTCAGCTTGAAAAGGCCACAGTGAAGGATCATAAAAGAGTCAGTGCAGGGAAAATGCCGAAGATCTCAAAACGGACACCCTTTCCAAGCATTGGCAGAGTTTAACTTCACAAGACGGAGCATTTAAGGCCAAAATCATGTGGCTGAGAAGGCAAGGGTAGGAAACCGCGGTGAGATTCAAACTTTAGCAAGGAAGAGAGATGTCCACCGCACCCTTTCCAAGCATTGGCAGAGTTTAACTTCACAAGACGGAGCATTTAAGGCCAAAATCAAGTGGCTGAGAAGGCAAGGGTAGGAAACCGCGGTGAGATTCAAACTTTAGCAAGGAAGAGAGATGTCCACCACAAACCAACCATGCACCCCAGTGACCCTTCCATCCCCATAACATGCAGTACACACTCCTTCCAGAGGTCCCCAGGCAAATCCATTCACCAAACCCTTAAAACGAGACTGCAGAAATCAGCTCGCAGGGGAGACTAGAAGTCTCAACCACATAATAGGTGTTTTCCATTTTTATCTGTAAGTGTTAGAGATGGTAGGAAAGGTTAGCATTAGCAATCAAAGTTTTCAAAATGCGACAGATAAGCACACTTTGAAATGTCGCAGAAACATGAATGGCTAGTAAGTCCACCACGTGGTATCACTGGAACTGCTGAGATGCTAGTCAAAGAGAAAAGCCCAAAGTAATCACCGTGAAGACGCAACAGAAGGACGTGAAGCCTCTGCTCTGCCCAACAGCATGCAGGTCTGGCGTCCTGGCATGAGGTTAAAAAGGCATTTAGGCAACCACCACAGGAGAACACGGCAGTCCACTTGGGTTTGAATGGACATACTGAATCACCACGAAGTACACACAGATGAAGAGCTTGGCACAGAAGGCCAGCCAATTCCCAGAGGCACAGATGTGTATGCACATGACTTCACTGATTCAGTGAAACTGCCCAGGACATGTCAGGAGCAAACATAGTACACACAGATGAAGAGCTTGGCACAGAAGGCCAGCCAATTCCCAGAGGCACAGATGTGTCTGCACATGACTTCACTGATTCAGTGAAACTGCCCAGGACATGTCAGGAGCAATCGCAAAACCGGAGCGAGCTACGGCAATGACAGAGTCAGAAGCCGGTGCCGCATACCTCTTCTTTTTCTCGTTTTGGCCAATTTGGACTCTTCCCTTCCAGCATGAGAGGGATGGAGGAAAGAAAAGACAGTGCAGCTAAGTATCCAAACCTGTTGTTTTACAGGAACTGAGGTCCACAGCAGTGAAGGTCACCCGGGATCAGGGAGTCAGTCATCAGCAAAGCCAGGGGCGGACTCCAGGTCCAGTTCTCGCTGGGACGCATCATGCCAGGGACCCACGCCTGCTCACACCTACTGTGTACATGATGACCACGGTGGAGCTGAAGAGAGGGGACGCCCACTGGGAGTCTCCTGCTGGGACCATCCTGTGGACATGCAGCTGGTTCCTGAAGTGCTTCCCCCAGATCTCTTCCCACCCCTGCTCTCTGAAATTAAGCTTTTCCTTCATTGTATTATGCAGCATTTGTCCAAAGGAGTCACTCCCCAATCTGGTCACAATTAAATTAGAACAGTGGAGACGGCTGAGGTTCTATAAAAGATTGTGGATAGAGCTGGTCTCTACAGATGTTCTAGGCTTCAACCACTCAAGGAAAACCACCTCGATGCGACAAGACGCCGGTCTTGCTTCCCTGCCCGTACTTCCCGAAAGACACCTCTGACGGAGGACGCAGGTTCAGCCCCTCTTCCCAGAACTTCTGAAACATCACCTGTATTTGAGAGAGGAGTCGCCACCAAGATCAAACCACAGTCACATGTGGACTGACAGGAAAGAAGTGTCTTAAATGTGCCTGAGAACGATTATAGCAAAAACTACCAGCAAGGGATTATGACCTTCCTTGGCAACATTCAAAGAGACATCAGCTGTGACCTCCTTAGTTTTCCAAGAATGCAGGCCTCGGTTTAGGAAATCTTGTTCAAAGGAAGCTGCCTGGTTTGGGGTGAGAGAAAGGGGAAAATGTGGATACACAGAGAAGCTCTTTCACACGTGGCAGGGTCCGAGGCAGAACTGTAATTACATTCCCCAGAAGTGACTGCTGTGGTACCTCAGCTGTGCTTTAGAACATGGAAACAGCAAAGAGGCTGGTGGATGGAGGGTTCTGGACATGTGGCTTTTTGGTGACATTTAGTGTATTTCACATATCCCAGAAAAATTGAAGTTTCAGTCCTGAAAACCTTCATCAACATGGCATCACAAAGACGACGGGCCACTCCCCAGAGAGTGGAGTCAGTTGGCATACTGGGTGTAGAAAGCCACTTTCACTCGCTCGATCTGATGGCATAACTTGATGGCAGGTCCCAGCTTCAGCTCCATGCACTCCTGCACCGTTGGGAGAGTCAGCAGCAGGAGCGCCTGGCCATCGATGTCCTGCAGGAGACAGAGGCAGGTTAGCGAAGGCTCAGTGCACACCAGGGGACGGCATGCGCCACACCAGGCTTCATCCTGGGGCCAGCGCCGGGACGAGACTGCTCTTGTCTCCTCTAATTTGGGAGAGAGCTGGCAGGGACACTGACTGGGCCTGATGACTGTCTAATCTCTTTGTTAATAACATCTTTTTGCTGAGAACATTTTGGCTACTCTGAAATCCACCTGCCTAACCCGGTGGGTACAGAGAACTGGCAGAGGTGGCAGTTGTGGGAAATGTTTCCGAAGCCTGTCACATCTTGCTGGGAGAGCAATGCCCCCACCCCCAAGGCCAGGTCCTTCCTACACGATGTTGCAACTTAATATGAGCACTACAAAAGAGCTCTCAACTAAAGGTAAAACCTCTCTTACTTCCCCACCGCAGTTTGACATTTCACTATCAGGATGGGTGAGGAGATACTAATGACAGATATATACGCCAACTACGCCACACCATTTTCCACAGAGGAACACACACACACACACACACACACACGCCCCCTACATCTACATTACACATCCACACACTGCCCACAATAATATACGCCAACTACGCCACACCATTTTCCACAGAGGAACACACACACACACACACACACACGCCCCCTACATCTACATTACACATCCACACACTGCCCACAATAAGGTGTGACGTGCACACAGGTCTGCTGCCTGGTTCTGTCCCATTTAGCCCATCTCCATCGACACACAGGGTTCCACTCCATGAAGACGTTATGTGATTGTTAAATCGCATTTGTGGCAAGAAGGGCACAGACTCACTCCAAAGCTCCAAGATCATTCCACTGGGCATCTCTGTCTCTTCACCAGCGTGCTTCCTACAGTAACTGGGTTTATTCGTATAGATGTCATTTGATTGGACTACCGAGTTTAACTGCAACCCTCTCTTCCCATGTGCCAAGACAGTCTTCATATTCCAGAGGGAATAACCGAGGCTTGGAGAGATTGCAGGCCCAAGCTAATGATAAAGATCAGTAGTGGAATGAGAAAACGAATGGAACACGGCACACCAGAACTTCTGTCACTTGGAGACATATGATACCCAGGGCTGTCATAAGCCACAGCGACTCCACAGTCGTGCACGTGTCTCAGACATCACCTATCAACAAATTTCACATAGGCAGCTTATTTTCTTAAACTAATGGCTTATTTGGCTGTCTTGAAAATATCTAAAGCAAAAAACCAAACTGAGTATTAATGGTAGCCTTGAGAAGACTAATGTGAAAAGCAAACATAATTTATCATCTGGTCAGATTCAAAAGACTAATGTTAAGAGCGAGAATAATTTATTGCACAATCAGATTCTAAAGCCACAATATTCCCTAGTTAAGTACAGCAGCAATCAAAATTAGGCATTAATTTTAAAAGTATCAATGTAAATAAAATTTATTTTTAAATTATAGATGATATATGCAACTATACAAACCAAGACACAAATGTGACCTTATTAAACCAAAGTAAACAGATCAGTCTTATACACGTACTGAAAACAGGAGATAAACTAATAAAATTGTCAATACAAGGATACTTTAAAAAGTTTGTGGGGAAAATAGAATTGAAAGGTCATGCAGATCTTTCCATGAACTTTTTTCAAGCACTTCATATATTTTTCATGCTATATTTGTATCATTTAGTTTACCTTTTTTTATACTGCTTTTTACATGTTATCTTACCTTCTTTTCAGATGCTACTGACGAGGCTGGCTGTAATAAGGGGGGATGGAAAGAACTGAGAAATAGGGTTTGGCTCAGGACATGAAGCCAACAAGGGCACCCTGGCCTGGGACCTGTCAGTCGAGGCCACATTCAGGGCCGAGTACATACAGATGGCATTGAAATGGACAGAGATGGTGTAGCCTAGGGACACAAAGTCTTCTAAGTATCATGGGACCCCTAAAAATACATCCTAGGTAGGCAATGGGCTGATGCTATAAAACTATGGGGCAGGTGGCTCGATCATTACGTGCAGTGAAATCGACAGAACCAGACTGAACAGAGCTACAAACTACGAAAAAAAAAAGTAAGCAAACGGCATTAGTAGCCCTTTCACAAATGAAACAAAAATGGTGAAAAAATTAGGGAAAGATGCTCCACCTCACCAGTAATCAGGGAAATGCAAATCCGGCACACAATAAAATATAATCTTATACCCACGGAAATACCACATGTGGACACAGAAGTATATGGTGAAGGGAGCTCCCCTACCACAGTGGTAGAAATGTAGCTGGTTTACTATTTTGGAAAACATTTGGCATCACCTAGTAAAATACAAGAGACAATCCAACAAGCACACAATAAACACAAAATTTGGAAAAGAATTTCACTCTGAAACAAAGGGGAGTATGGGAGGGAAGAAGCCCTTAGGTACCGTGGGCGGTGGATTTCCGCACCTCTCTCTGGGAATCCTTGCGTGGGAAGAAAGGAGGAAGATGAAGGCTAACTCTACTAAGCTGCATATACTCAAAACCAAACCCCACATCTAGTGGTGACTGCTCCTTCAAGGTCTCCAAATCCCCAGAGAGAAACTTCAAGGCCAGCTCATTCTGTCTCTTCTAAACCATAACAAGGCTTTTGTCCCCTGCTGGGCAGACTTAGTGGTACAGACGCTGAGAGTCGATGCAGTGTTTACAGAGCTTTAAAGACCACGGACTCCATCCCAGATAGCCAGAGTGCTGATCCTGGGGATGCTATGGTGCCTGAAGTCACCCACAGAGAGACATGCTGGTTTCCATACCTGGAGAGTTTGATTCACTTCAAACTATTCCTCAAACATCAACTTCACACCTGTTGGGATAAATGTGCTGGATAACTGCGATCCTATAATTAATTGTGAAGGCATGACCAGAGTGACTGCTACCGTCAAATTCCACACTCATTTAAAGGGTGAACAATGAGTGTGAGGCCCCCAGCACACATTTGCTGGTCCCTGGCACAGTGCTCAGCACACGACAGACACTTCCTCAATGGACAGATGTGGTAAAGTATGCTGGAAATGAAGTTAGGCTTGAGATCAAGTGCTATAACTGGCTAGTTATTTCACAGAATTTGGTCTCTATGCTGGGACATGTCATCCCCTGATGTCTTCTGGAAAGCTGTGCTGTTCTGACCTGTGTCATCATTCACTATTAGCTGAACATAACATGCCCACTCCTGCTCCGGGAACAAACCTGTTCAGCCGAAGAAGGCTGCCCACGCCTGCCCAATCAGCACCAACTGCCATGGCCTAGGTCAAGACCACCACTTCCCCGATTTTTCCACTTAAAACTACAACTTCACCTTTGCTAATGACATCATTGTCTTCACTGTGTGAGAGCACGGGGGACCCTCCCTATCATCAAAACAGTGGCTGACCAACACGTCTACCCCCTACTGCTCACTCGTGTACGTAACCAGCCCCCTCCACGATCTCACTGTGGGGTGGGAGGGAGCGGTGTGTGAATGGCAGCAAACTTAGAAGAGGGGAATACAGACATGATGCTGTAAAAAGTCAAGGAAGGAGGGAGCAATTCCACTTCACCATCCTGCTCACATGGAGCCTTTGCTTTGGTTTGGGAGACGTTATTTCTTTTTGAGAATTACGTATATAACATACCAGATCACACAGCTAACTTAATTTTTATAAACATGCCTCTATATAATTCAGAATTGCTAGCAGATCACTTGCTATGTTTAACAGAATTACCATAAATGGACCACTAATTTTAAAGAAATGAAATACGCTAAAACACACAACCTGAAAGTTATGTTTAGAAGATGGCAAAATTAAGTTCATTTTGATAGAGTTCAGCTTAGGATTTGGTAGTTCCTAAATGGAGGTATTCACATGTATAAAAGTAGAAAGAGGAGGGAAGAGTCTCAATCTGGACTAAATCTGAAATTCTTTTAATTCAAGTAAATCACTCATTTGGGCAATTTGCTTATCGCATGTTTCTGATTCATAAAACATGAATGAATAGGCAAAATTTAGAGTTGTGTGTTTTCTTAGTTACAGATGTGTGGATTTTTACTGCATAATGTACATGTTTGCAGCATGAAATTATAGAGTGTAGATTTTTTAAGCAGTTGCCATACTATTTCAGAAATAAAAAGCACGCATGCCAGTAATGGGAAGTTTATCACTTTTGCAAATGCTCCTGGTGATTATAATAGTGTCTGAGTTTGTAAGATCCAGAGGTGTGAATGCACACAGCTATCATCCTCTCCTGCCCTGTGATCTCATTCACACACTGGTGAAGAAAGCTCCAGGTTGCTTCTAGTTCATGTAAAATCTCAGATAATGCCCTCAGTGACCCATTGGAGGCCTCACCAAATCAGAGTCGTGACATTTGGGCTAAAAGATGATAGAAAAAGTTAGTAGAAATTAGTAATTAAAGGTCTGATGGAACAGAAAAAAAGACTCAAGTGCCCACGCTCTTGAGACAGCCCAGCACGCAAAAGCTTTTTATTACAACAGGTAAAATTGCCTAATGTGAAATGTAAAATTACATAGGAATAAGACTGTTATTAATTATAACCAGGAGCCTGTCTTTCTCTCTCAGAAGAGAAGTAAGAAGGTGTGAAGGACCAAGCTTTTAACTGATGTTGGAAGAGGAACTCGGAGGGAGGCCCTGGCTCGCTGGGTGCTTAATTCTACAGGTGGGAATGTCCAAGGAACGTTCCACATAGGAATAAGACTGTTATTAATTATAACCAGGAGCCTGTCTTTCTCTCTCAGAAGAGAAGAAGGTGTGAAGGACCAAGCTTTTAACTGATGTTGGAAGAGGAACTCAGAGGGAGGCCCTGGCTCGCTGGGTGCTTAATTCTACAGGTGGGAATGTCCAAGGAACGTTCCATGTCTTAGCTTGGGAAGACAAGAAATGTTGAGATATTGGTATAAACTTGGCTTATGAGTACACTAAGGGAAGACTTGACATAAGTAGTATTTTAGCCTTTTTCCTGAATCAGCTTTCTTTTACTTTCTTGCTTATTACTGAGAAATTGTACAAGGTATAAACACACAAGCCTGCTCACCTTTCATGGTGCAAATGGTTCTGATCTCCTGCAACCTAACCTGGAATCTAGAAGCAAGAAAATCTGTCCTTTGTTCTGGCTCAATTAAAAAATGCTTCTTTGTTAAAACTAGGCATTTGAGCCTAAAAACAAAATAAAATAACAACAACACTGTAGATCAATATAGAAAGCCACATTCCACATCTGCCTTTTGGATATTATAAGGCACGTGACAGGAGCTCAATCAGTACATGTCAAATGAACACAGGAACCGACGGATACACGAGCATATTAACACCTGTGTAAGCAGCTTTTATCATGTACTTGAATACAACGCTTTTCTTCCACAGCGCCACTATCAAATACCAGACTGGAAAAATGCTGTGCTGGGCAATGCTTTATGTTAAGATTTTGACCTATTGCTTCATTTTTGTTTTCAAGATGAGGACGTGGCTTATCAACGAGCCCCAAACCACCTAAGCCCTCGACCTAAGCTTATAATTCTCTTTCTTTCCTGTTTGCGTGTTGTAAGAAAGGGACAAGCTGAATGCCCAGGTTCTTTAGGTCTCACAGAGCTTCTCCTTGTGTGTCTGCTTCTTGGTGTCGCTGGAGAGGAAGTGACTAACATCAGAAAGTCAGGAGGTGGCCCTCCTCTCTGAGCTCCCTTCATTCCTTCACATGAACTTATTGGGTGTTTACAGAAGGTTCTGTGGTTGATCAGATGACCTGCTTCACTGCTTCCTAGATGACCTCCTGGACCTCTCTGGACACAGGGTAAGAGACCTTTGAATGTCAACAATGACTCTCCGGGGTGGGGCGGGGTTGGGAGGAGCTGGAACCACATTAATTTGCTTTTTATGATTTGTTATTATTGCATTGACTTAGAGCTGAGAAATTCCCTAGGTACATGGAAATCAGAGGCCCTTTATTCCCCCCAGTGCCTTAATGCTTAAAATATACTCTTTCCACAGTGTTGGTTTGTAATCTAAAAAGAGACTAGATAAACACATCTTTACTATAGAAAATAGTATTTTTTAACACGAGGTTGTCAAAGACATATTTACGCTGTGGGACACTGCAAGACATTTCAGCAAATTGAGCACAAAGGAGAGCAAGAGCCACAGGCTTGAGCTTTGCACGAGGCAGGACTAATTTACGGGATAACGTAAATAAAAACCCTCTCATCTTTCTTAGGGCACATCACCTGTGTCTGATGTTTCAGCTAATCACAGTCTTTCCATTTGCTGGATTTTAGGCTCCTTCAGGGTATAGATTATATCAACCGTTTCTGCAACTGTCCATCACAATATCATAGGTTTCAAAATATTTTAGGCAGAAAGAAGTGAAGAAGATAAGAAAAGTGCATTAAATAAAACACAAGGGACAGAGACCTTCCCTGGGCAGGTCGAGTAGACACACTTTCCCCTATTTCTCCCACTCAGCTTAACAAAAACCCCTGCACGTTATAAAAAAAGCAAAACAGGAGAAGACTCTGAGAGGTGGAGAGAAGAGAGCAGACCAGCCAGAGGCCTCGGGACCTGAGTTAGTGACATGGTGCTAGTTCTTTGGTGATTTTTGCTGCTGTTGTTTGCTTGTGTGCTTCAAGTAAACAAGATCTAGAGCCAAAGCAGCTTGCACCCTGGAACTGCCAACAGGCCTGGAGAAAAGAGGCTCAACAGAAGCCTGCTCCCTCTGGCCAAAGGACCTGCAAAGG